CTCCCCCCTCGCGCGAGGAACCGTTCTCCTCCCCCCCCCCTTTACTGAGGGAAGGCAGCAAAACTTTTCCTTTTTTAATTATGACTGTGAAAAGAAAGTATTTAATTCAAAGTTTTTAAGGCAAATAAACCTATTTTTCCTACTTAAACATCGAAAACGGACACATCCGTGTGGCTGAAATGTCACCGGAAAGACCAAGGTGACGGCGAAAGTGCTGGGCCGCGGGAGGGCCCTGGCCGCCTACCAACAGTCTCTTCAGGGGGGCACTGGGTAGCCCCGTGCTGAACATGTAATAGCCGCAACCTACGAATGTTTTATTTAACCATAAGCCGGGGAGGCGGTATTTGTATCTGTGTAACAAAATACCAGCCCTGCGGAGAGTCTGAATTTAAAAAAAAACCATTCCCCCCACATAGGGAGTCGCTCTGTACAGAGTCTACGCTACTTCTGGAAGTTGTTTAAAGAAAACTCTAATCCGTATTGTTGAAAGTAAGTATGCTGGATTAAGACACAAACTCTTTTGTGTGGGTGGGTGGGTGCGTGTATACATACGTGTTAGTGCTTCTAAACACATGTTCACACTTACCTGATTTTCATCAAGTTTTTGTGCGCATACCGTGAGTTCTCAGCTTATATGCGTTACTAGCATCACTAATAAAGAACATAAAGATTTCAAGTAATCCTTCACTGATCTCTAGCTTATTTATTATATAGGGAAAAATCCTGTTCATACCCAGTTGCTGCAAGGAACAGAATACTACACTGTATACAGTATTTTAATTTTTTCTTGCAAATTTAGTGCAAAGAATTTTCAATATGTATTCATAGACCTGTTAAAATACTAGCAATTCATACCGTTATACCTTCTTAAAATGCATAAAGGCAAAAGAAAAAAAAAAACAGTATAACTTTTGCTTTTAGACACTTAAAATGAAGAGAGCAATCTTTTTGTGGTGAGTTGATAAAATTTCCTTAAGATTAAATTCCAGAGAAGCTGTACATAAAGTTATTTAGTGCTAAAAATCTACAATACATTTTTCAAGTATAAGATACTGAAATATTATTGCCAATAAATAGTTGTGCTGTAGTCAAAGCCATGGTTCATTTGCTGAATTATTCACATCTCAACATATTAGGATTTAGTTTTTCACTGAGTTTATGTATTAAAATAGCTAACTCTTCTGTTGCTTGGGACTTATCCTCCAACAGTTCATAGCGAAGACTGGAGATATCTTGTTTGATTTCCTTTAATTCACCTGTATTAATCATTGAAAAAAATACTCGTTAGCAAGGTTTGTTTTACATTCATTAAATAACGTTCTGTCCAGTAACATCAGCGCCTATTTCAAAACCGTTTCCTGCTCGTCCAACACGTTCATTAGAGCAGGTGCAGGAGCGGGAGGTGCAGGAGGCTTTATTCTTCTCTCAACATGTGAGCATGTATCCACCTCTGCATCATACCAAAGGTATTTTCATAATCCAGCAAACTCTGCTGAGCTTGTGCTTCACATATACACAGAACATCAAAAGATTTGCAAAGCCCTCTATATAGGTTAATAAATTAATCATAGCAAACTGCTGAGCAGCTGGTAAATATTAGTACCCCCCCACACACACACACATTTAGAGAGAAAAGGCAAAGAGATTTTTTCTGAGGTGATATGTAAGATCACACGAAAAGTGTGGCAGAGCTGGCAATAGAACTCACAGCTTCTGAGTCTCTCTCCTCTTCCTTACCAATATCCTTTGAATTAGAAAAAGTCAACCAATTTAATATTATGTTACAATTCAACACAAGTACCAACACCCCATCTAAATGGAAAACACCTTAGACCTGTAGGAAATTGTCATGTATAAAATAAGAGTACAAAAGAACACCTAAGTTCTCTACGTGATGCGAAACAGGGAAAAATGCCTAGACTCTTGATTAAAATAGCTGCAATATATAACAATGGAACATAGTTTTTTTATTTATAACATAGCAGACTTCAAAAATTTTATCTTCAAAGCCCAGATACCTCAGGTACCAATGAGGCCGGCAAAACACTCTGTCTTTGCTTTGCAGCTGAGACTGAGGTTCCGGGGTTAGCTGACTTGCCCAAAGTGGACTTGCCTCCACAAAAGTCATGATGCACATCATGATTCTTCCGCACATGAACTGTCTTACTCATGTAAACCTGTGTATGTAAATACCCAAGCAGACATCAGGGTACTGAGAAGCCATGAACTCCTTGGCTATTTTGTGGGTGAGAAAAGAGTCTTTTAATCGCTCTACAAGTGACTCCCCCCTATCATAGAGCAGTCACAGGAGAAAAGTGATGGGAAGCCTGCAGTGTGGCATGAGGGGCATGCTAGGGGGAAGACGTGTACAGGACTGTCTTTCCCCTTTATCTAACTTTGAGCAGCTTCTCTGCTTCTGTCACTCATGAGCTTGGCTCTGCACAGCCACATAGGATGGGGAAGAGTCAAGATGCCAGTCACTGCAAAATGCTGCCTTTTGAAGGCACAGAGTGGGATTTAATTTATATCCTAATTTCTTTTCTGCTCTTCCTTGCTGCAGAGAGTTATGGGTAAGCAAGGAATCACTGACAAGCCATGCAGCCTTTAGCTGAGATAGCAGCCTTTCAGGGCCCCTCGTGTCATATGTGGACAGCCTCCTGATCCCTCCATACCAGTAAAAGCTGTTCTGATCCCAAGCGGTTCTCCACTGCACACCAGCTGAAGAGCACAAGCCTGCCCATAGTCTGGTCTGGGTAAGCATTCCCTAATCCAATACAGGGAAACCCAGCTAAACTATCCCAGACCAAAACTAGCTGCGCTAAGCATGTATGTTTTGCTGTAGTGGTCACGTGGACCTCCTACTGGTTGGACCAGAAAGGTTATGACCTCCAGCTTGCAGGGAACAAAATTGCTGGGGTGGTTACATCTTCAAAGAGCAGAGCTAGCCCAGCAAAGGACATTAGTCTATAGCCTGATAATGTTTACCTAGAATGCAGGATAAGCATGCTCTGTGCTGCGCTCACCCTGACTGCTTGATTCAGGGACCTGCCCAGAGCTCATGAGGTTCTTTTTCAGCCCACAGGCCTGCGTCTCATCCCTGGAAGGCAGGAGAATGGAGGACAGCGTGCGCCTGAGTGTTACCCCAACCCGGATTCAGGCCTGGCACATGCCCCCCTCACACTGCTACCATGCAAGTTCCTGAGGCCCCACCGTTCAGACACAGACGTGAAGCTCAGATCCATCATTTCTCAAGAGATCTCTGCCCTAAAAAAAGTGGCTACAGTTCTCGTTTTTCTCACCATGCAGCTAACTCTATGCATTTTTTTTTTAAATGTTGTGCAACTTCACAGATGAAGATTCCACATAACTTTACGAATGAAAGGAATCCAAGTAGTTCACGGTGTGAAGTAGTAAATTGCTTGTTCAGTTCAATGCAACAGAAAGATAGACCTACAGACCAGGACTTAGACCTAGTCTACAGACCTAGATAGACCTAGGTCTGACCAGGACTTTGGAAGTCTGACTACAGTTAGTATTCAAACAAACTTCCTATGTAACTCTGGGCAAGCCATGCCTACGTCCCAGCTTTCCATCGGTAAAATGGGGCCCATAGTTCTCAGCTCTACTTCTTTTGTCCAACTTGTCCTTTTGTTGTCACAGACATGCTTCCCTTACTAGCTATTTAAGTTTGGTGCACTTAACTAGAATGAAACCCTCATTTTGA